CTTTAATAATAATTGTAAATCTTTTTGAATTTATTTATATTTTTTTTACGTCTTTTATTTGCTATTAGTCGTTGTTTTTTATAAGTTATATTTCAGTTTCCAGTTTACTCGTTCCCGTTCCTTTCTTTATCTCGTTTTTCTCTGTCATTTGTATTGTCTTTGTATTCTAACGTTTCCCTTAACTTAAATGAAGTATTCTATATTCAAACTCGTCTCTCGTTAGTTCTGCCTTGTTCTCGTTGCTTTTTCAACTCGTTTATGTCCAGTTATTCGTTACCTTTTTTTGCTCCTACCATTTAGTCTTCACTTTTTTTTTCTTTCTTCCTTAGCTACTCTCTTTTCTCTCTGTAGTCCTTTTATCTTGCCTTTCAGCTCGTTTCTTTTTCTCGTCCTTTTGTAGACTCGTTGCTTAAATTCTCATTGTCAACATAGCTGTCTAAACATTTCTTGTAGCTTGCCATTTCATACTCTAACTATTTGTTCTTTCCTTAATCAATCCTTACTCTTCTTTGCTCTCTTTACAATAACTCGCCACTTTTGTCTCGTTGCTCGACTTTTGATTTCGACTATTTAACTTAAGCTTTTTTATTCTCTTTCCAACTAAACTTAGTCGTTTCTCTACGTATATTAGCTTTAAAGTTTTACTAGTTGAGGCTCTTCTTGGTCATTCGTTACTCTAACTACTCGTTACTTTAATTTCGTTTCTTTGTTTATTTTAATCAACTCGTTACTTTTGTCTCGTTGCTCTTTTATATTAATATCAGATTTCTACTAGTTATCTTAATGTTCTTTTTATTTTCTCTCGTTGCTCTTCTGAATTTTCTCTCGTTACTTTTCAATAAATGTTATTCGTTAGTTTGATATACTCCCTCTGTCTCCCTCCCTCTCGCTATACATTGCCAACATTATCGTAAATATCAAACACATATTTTGTTGCTGTTCACAATTCATAAATATATATATATATATATATAAAAATATATATATATTTATATATCTAGCATTATGCTCACGTCTTAACCATTTTATGGCTCAGAGGGTGTAAAGCGTCTGTATGAAAGCTGGAAAACAAAACCGAAATACAATGAGAAATGAAAAAGATGTCACCAGCTGCCGTTTTCAATCTTAATATTTGATGTTACACGTCGCACTCGACAGGCAGCTGCGACTTGCTTCTTTTTGGGCTCGTCGTCGCTGCTTTTTGTCTGTTCACATGTTAACGATTTGGGCCAGAGCCCCGTGACCTAGTCTCCACACTCCGAGTAACAGATAGTTAGGCTGAAAATTGTAATAAAAAAATAAAATAGAAAATGCAAAATGGAAAATGTAAAATGACAACTCATAAGAAGTGCCAGACGTTAACAATTTAATGCGTTTACACTTGACTTTCTTCCAACTCTGCATGCAATACATAAATTGGCTAATACTATATGAGGGTCCAGCATTTGGCCTAAATGGTCCTGCATACCAAATGAGTTCTTCCTCAGCAAAAGCCATTCTTCGGCCAGTTTTCTCGGTTGGCTTGAATGGAAATGAGTGGATTGTCTGTTGCGCACGGCTAAGCACAAATGAAGTGATTTTTTTGCTCTTCAAGTCTTTCGGCTAATGTTCCACAGATTGAGCGATATTTGTGTGAGGCATGAGCTGAGCTGAGCAGCGATAAAAAGGAATTGTTACTCGAATAGACGAGACTGAAGGAAGACTCGAGACTCGCGCCTCAAACTCTAAAATGGCAAAACAATTTAATGCTTCATTGAGAGCCGCACATATCGCTGGCAAATGACAGCCAATTGCTAGCGATAAGAACAGTTCCTAACTCACCACAAACTGAGCCAGAGCATGAGAGCTAAGCGTAACTGACTGTCTAATGCGCGCTGAGAGCTTAATGGCAGACATTGAAATTATATTATTTTTATATGTGTGTAGAGTGGGTCTTTTGGGAATGATTTCTTAGAAACTGATTATATTAGATTATAAATTGATTTTTAATTTATCAAATAAATAAACCTTAGAGCGCACGCTTGAATTAATCGATCTGTAGACAGAGGGAGAGAGAGCTAATCTGTGGCCCAAGCTTAAAATATTTTTCATATATTCTATATTTATATCTATAAAAATATATTTAAAAATTTTAAAATATATTTCAAATATTTAAATAGTAAACTCTGAATTAAGAAAACTAAGGTCTGATTACAAATTTTTTTCTATCTGCAGTTTTCCTTTACAAAAATAATTTGTTAATATATATGCTCTACAGAATAACTAGTCCAGCAACATATAGTTAAGATCACTGCTTGAATTTCGAAATAATTCAAAGCTTAATTACAAAATATGTAAATCATAAATTTTGTAAAAATTTGTCTTACAAATTTGAAGCTGTTCACAAACAAAAAGCTAACCAGCTTGAGCCTAGGCATCTATGGAGGAGTTATACTCTGTTTCTGTCTACAAAGGAGTAGGCGAAGCAACAATGATCAGAGATTCAGATACATGCCAGCAGTGTCACTGGCTACTATCGCATTGATCAGGCTTAGGAAAGCCCAGAATAACTAATACCTGATGACATGGTCTATTGCTAGTGGCAGCTTTCTTTATTTAAATATAGATAATTAATTTGAGATAGAGATGAATAAGTTTCACGTGAGTTTTTCATGGTTTGCTTAGCAAAATATTCCAAGACTGTAAGAGGCACTAATTCCCGAGAGTATATATTGATTTCTCAAGTATTAAGCTTCAATAAAAATAGTTAGTAATATGATTTACTATATAAAGATGTATACAAAATTAATATAATTATTTACAGATGGTTAACTTCGATTTTTACCTTGCCTTTAAGTGCCTATCGCTAAATTCTTATTAGAGTAATGTGTGACAATTAAATATATAAAAACTTAAAAGCTTTATAATGACACCCAGCCAATATACTCCTTATACACCCACGCGAGCGAGCATTAAAAGGCAGCTACAAATACAACAGGAAAAAAACAGTTTTGCAGTCACTTTCATTGCGCCGAGTTGTCAGCAAAAGGCGGCCGCGGAGCAAACAAAGTGGCAGCGACAGCGAGTGGGGTGGGAGTGCTTGGGGGGAGGGGGGGAGTCTTACAATTATATATTGAACACTGCGATAAACATATATGAAAAATGCACATGCGGCTGGGTGCCAAGTTCAATTCCGCAGGCCAAAAGTTTACGCCACTTAATAGAACTTGACGCAAATTCAATTACAGCCATGGCCACGCCCCCCGCCCTCACACACTCACATACATGGAGCATGTAGAAGTTGTTGAAGAAATTTGCGGAAAAACGTTGCCTTCGAATTTTCTGTGGAAAACTTTTTGCCCACCGGCGGCGGTTTTTTGTGTGATTTCTGTAAACGTTGTCACAGCTCAGCTCAGCTCGCTCTCTCTTTTTTCTATCTCTATCTCTATCTATTAGTTCTCCTGCTCTATAATGGCTCTTGGCCAGCATTCGATTTGGAAGTTTTTCGCTTGCGGCTGTTTACACTGCAGCAACCCCCACCCACCTGCTCCAACCCAATGCCACCCTCTCCTCCTACCTGCCTGCCTTTCTCTCTCTCTGGCTCAACTGCAATTAGCAAATAAAACTTGGCATATTTGAAGCGTCAATGAGGCGGCGGCTGGCTGTGCGAAAACTTTTGCAATCACTTTCCATTCGCTTCTTATTGGCCCAAAAAGTCTTGACTTGGCCAACTGCTTGACTTAGGTGCATTTCTTCTGTGACTTAAGAGCCTCAGAAGTCCTTTGAAATTGTTACTTCACTGTTTACAGTTTGCCTGCAATGGATCAGGCGGCGTCATCAATGAGCAAGGCAATATGTTAAATTTGTTATCAATATTAATTATACTGAAAGTTATACTGATATGCTAAAGCTTATATACATATACAACTTTTTCTATAAAATATATTTTTTAATATTTGTCATGAAATTTATTAAATTATATTTATACTTATATATATTTTTCAAAATATTTCTAAATTTTTACATTGTAAGAATATATAATTATTTATTTACCTATTTATTATTTCTCATTATTTTATTTATTTAAATTAAACTTAATTTTATATCATTTTATTATTCAGCAAAAACTTTATTGGTGGTTGTCTTTGCTATTTCTATTATATTGCGCGACCAGCCAATAGGTGGCGCCAGCGTGCTTGCAATGCAACAATTCTATGTTAATATATTTTGACCCATAGAGGGCGCACACCATGCACAAATTTATAGTAAAACATGAAAAAATAATACAATGCATATAATAAAATATGAATATAATAAATAAAATAAACAAAAAATTTTTTGAAAAAAGTACAAAATATATAAATTTAAAACAACTGATGATTAAATAACAACGAAAAACAGCTTAGCTAAAAAAAATAAAAATAAATTATATTATTGTTATTTGTAAAGTTAAAAAAAAATTAATTTAAAAATATTTTTATTTTTAAAAATATCTAAACAAAAGCTGAAAATGTTAGTAATACAAGAAATAATTATTTCAATTGTTATAATAAAAAATCATTTTTGTTATATATTTTGAGATCATTCACTTAAAATATTTAAAAATATTCAGAAAAAAATTGTATATTTATTAAAATTTTTGGTGAAATAAAAAACAGAATTTAACTAAAATTTCTTTTTGCCTAAGTGACTTGAACCTCTATCTAGGCCTTCTCAGATTGTTCAAAGACGCAAATTTAATAATATTGGAATTTGCTCTTAAGAACTTTATGTAGACATGCAAATATATATCTTAAGCATATTGTTATTTTAACAATTAATAAGTGCCCAATTGCAACTGCAGCACGTTCCTCAGCTTCAACTAAGCCGATCTGCGGTCCTCTCGAATGCCATGCGAAATAGCTTAGATAAACAGCAGCACGCAGCATGAAATAGTTGAAATATTCAAATATTCGGCATATGTTAATTAATTGTTATAAATACGTGAGCTTTGCTCAATTGCCAGCCACACTCAAGAGACGATGCACTGCAATTGGCTGTTAAGACTAGCTGTGGCTGTGCTGCTGCTGCTGCAGCTGCCGAGCGGCGAGGCGAGGCGACGTCATCGGGCGCATAAGGTGACGTTGAACAGGGAGACGAAGAGGGAGGATCGATTTTCATTACTTCAATTCGAGATCCCAGCACTGCGAGCCAAACTAAGGATTAAGACGAAGCCAACTCTGCTACGAGTGATGGCAACGCAAAACGGGAAAGAAGAGAGCTTAGTGAAACTGCCTCTGACCAATGCCTACAACACGGAATACTTTGGCAACATCAATATCGGCAGCAATCAGACCTTCAAGATACTCTTCGACACGGGCTCCTCGAATCTGTGGATACCCTCGGTCCAGTGTCCAGCCGATAGCTGCTTGCATCTGCAGCGCTACAACAACAGCCTCTCGAGCAGCTACCAGGCCAATGGCAGCGCGTTTCAAATCCAATATGCCACGCGAAACAATCAGCCAACCATACTGAAGGGTTTCCTGTCCACGGACACTGTGGAATTAGCTGGGCTTGTTATCAGGAATCAAACGTTTGCGGAGATCACATCGCTGCCGCCGAACGTCTTCAAGAAGTCCAACTTCGATGGCATCTTCGGACTGGGCTTCAAAGAGATCTCGATCGATGGCGTCGTCCCGCCCATGTACAACATCATCGAGCAGGAGCTGATTGCCCAGCCCACCTTTTCTTTCTACCTGAATCGCGATAATAATGGCACCATCGACCAGGAGGGAGGCAAACTCTTGCTGGGTCCAAGTGATCCCACGTTGTACAGCGGTTGCATGACCTATGTGCCGCTCTCCAAGATCGGCTACTGGCAGTTCACTGTGGCCAGAATCGAGCTGGGCGACAATCTGCTCTGCAGCAAGTGCGATGCCATTGTCGATGTGGGCACCTCGCTGATTGTGGCGCCACCGGCGGTGCTGAAGAGCATTAATGCCCAGCTTGGCCTGACCGAGGCCGATAAGCGCGAGGGCGTCTATACCTTGCCCTGCTCTCGTGTTGCCACGCTGCCCAAGCTCACCTTCAACATCGGACGACGCGATTTCGTTTTATCGCCATCCGATTACATTGTCAGATTCAAGAACGTCTGCGTCTCCGGCTTCACCAGCCTGGACGATGGCAGCGCCGAGCTCAAGGACGACAACGGTAACGACTATGGCAACATATGGGTGCTCGGCGATGTCTTCATGGGTCCCTTCTACATGGAGTTCGACATGGAGTACAAACGCATTGGCATTGCACCTAAAGTATAGACTTTCCATCATATTAAATTTCAACATTAGCAAAATTCCATTTTGTAATAAACTATTCACTTATTAAAACAAAATATATTTTTTTTAAATTATATTATAAATATTTTACTATTATTATAGGGTGTCATAGTATTGAGCTCATCATTCACTTTCTATGTAGACTGTAGATGGGAATATTTGCTACTCTAATATAATATCTTATGCCTTTTGCAATTGTATTTGGCTAAAGATTGCTTAATTAATCAATTATAAAAAAAATTGAAAAAATAAATTTCTTTATATAATTATTATGTATTTCTGCTTATTTTGTTACTCTATGAACACTTTTAGATTCAGTTTCGGTTCAATTTAATTGTGTTTTAAATTTACATAAACTTTAAAATTTTCGATAAATATTTATATTAATTTATGTAAATTAGTTTTTATTTTTTTTCGGACATTTTTCAAACTATTTTCAACTAAAAGCCAAAAAATGTTTATTTTTTTATTTTTTTCTCGCCATGCCAAACTATTTTCTACTAAAAGCCAAAAAATATTTATTTTACAACGATTCTCGCTATGTCAGCCATCCGATATACTAGTGCTTTCCGGCCTGTTTTTATATTTACTTTTATATTTATTGACTCTGAACTTAAATGAGAGAGTTAAGGAAAATATTTAGAAGATTGTTGTTAAGCTGTGAAAATAGTTGGACATATAGTCAGTATCACTTACAGGCAGGGTATCCCATAGACAGAAAGTTAAGTAGGCGAAGCTGTCAGCAGTGGCCTTTACCTTGCCGATGGCAATTTGAAACTTTACTATCAGCGATTGTATTTGCCTTTATTATTGTGAGTGAAGTATCTTACTGAAAGCCACAAACAATCTTCAGACAATACTCCCAAGGACAGCGGGCTTAGCTCAATGAGATCTCTTCTCTGCATGATAATGAACTTGAGGGTGGCTCTTAAACAGTTATCACCAATAAACTAAATAAATTAAATGAAAAATTAAAATTGTAGAATCAAACAGCAACGGGTTCTAGTCGAACTCATATTTTAATTTTAATACACGCCAGCCACAGACTAATACTAGGCAGAGAGTCAGAACTTGATGACAACTAAACTTTAAATAAAAATATTTATACTCAATGATAAGATAAACTTATGCTTTTCAAATTTTATGACATTTTATGACATTATTTAGAATAATTTGTTGACAAATTATGAAATCATAGCATATTGTTGACAAACACTTTTTCTATCATATCTAAGAATAAACTCAATTTGGTTATCATAATTTGCCAAAGTCATTTATAAACACTTTATGCCATTTTTCGCTTACGTTTTCCATATTTTGATAAGTATCAAATTTCCATATAAACAGAGCTGCGATAATATTTTGAAATTTCATTGTTTACCTTGCCGAAATGAATTACTTTTCTTTTTATTTTCAATTATAAATTTTTTTTTGAATTCGGTCAATTCATTTCGAGGGCTTAAGATAACTTTAACTGATAACTTCCAGAGCTTTAACACGTGTAATTTTCGTGCACGTTATGAAACAACTAATAAACTGCACGAAATTTGCAGTGTTTTTAAAATTCTTAAAATTATTATAATAAGATATCGTTACCAAAATTTAACTAAACTTTGTGCAGCCTCATGAAGAAGTTTAATATGAAAATGAACCGAATTAAAAAAAAATCTTAAATAATTCTTTAAAAGTTTTTAAAAAACTCTTAAAAATTCTTTAAAAATTCCTTACAAAAAACTCTTAAATATTCTTAAAAAATTCTACAAAAAATATTTAAAAATTCTTTAAAACTTCTTGAAAAATTCTTAAAAAATTCTTTAAGAAATCTTAAGAAACAATTAATAAATTCCTAAAATTCTTTCAATATTCTTAAAATTTTTTTTTTTTAAATGAAATTTCACTTGCAACTTTTACGCTCACTGTAAGGCCATCTATCTATCAATTAAAGTATTTGTAAAATTCATCACAATTAATGATAAATTTTTTATCGCAACGATATCAATCCTGAGCAAATGTAATCCCATCGCCGTTGCCTATAAATAAGCCCAGTATAATTGCAATGCCCGTTAGAGTGGCCCAGTCAAGGCTGCGAAAAAGTTTAAGCATTTATAAGAACTCAACATGTTGAAGTGTTTCAGCTTGTTGCTGCTGCTGCTGGGCATTGTGGCCCTGATCAGTGCCGAGGTGAAACGCATACCCATACACAAGCACGATCACAAGCGGACGCGGCTGCATCACAAGGCGGCGACGCGTTCGCTCAATCAGAAATACCATCCACAACAGGCGCTCTATGTGCCCGACTATGACGCGCCCAACTACTATGACTCGGGCAGCCAGGAGGATAGTAACGAGTATGTGATTGAGAATCTGTCGAACAATCAGAACATGGACTACTATGGCATCATCGGCATTGGCACACCGCCACAGTACTTCAATGTGGTGTTCGACACGGGCTCCTCGAATCTGTGGGTGCCATCAGTGCAATGTTTACCCACGGATGTCGCCTGCCAAAATCACAATCAGTACAATTCAAGTGCCTCGAGCACCTATGTGCCCAACGGCCAGAGCTTCTCCATACAATACGGCACAGGCAGTCTCACTGGCTTCTTGTCAATGGACACCGTTTCCATCGATGGCTTGAGAATTGCGAATCAGACGTTCGGCGAAGCCATCTCGCAGCCCAATGGCAGCTTCACTGGAGTGCCCTTCGATGGCATTTTGGGCATGGGCTACATGAACATCGCTGTGGATCAGGTGGTGCCGCCATTTTACAATCTCTTCGAGCAGGGCTTGATCGAGGAGCCGACCTTTGGCTTTTACCTGGCGCGTGCGGGCTCAGCCCAAGCCGGTGGCCAACTGGTCTTGGGCGGCGTTGATACGCAACTCTTCAGCGGAAATTTGACCTATGTGCCGATCGTGCAGCAGGGCTATTGGCAATTCGTTGTGAACAGCGCTCAGATGAATGGCAATGTGGTCTGCTATGATTGTCAAGCCATTGCCGATACGGGCACCTCTCTGCTGGCCTGTCCTGGCAGAGCCTACACCACGCTCAACCAGCTCATTGGTGGCTATCTCATGGATGGTGATTACTATGTCGACTGCTCAACGGTCGCTTCATTGCCCGTGCTCAGCTTCAATATTGGCGGCACCATCTTCAACCTGCCCTCGTCTGCCTACATCAGCAGCTTCACGGAGAACAACTCGACCTTCTGCATGTCCAGCTTCACGTACATCAACACTAACTTCTGGATTCTGGGCGATGTCTTCATTGGCCAGTTCTATACACAGTTTGATTTCGGTGAGAATCGCGTCGGCTTTGCACCTGTGGCCTAAGCGACGTCTGATTTTACCTGAAAATTTTATTTGAAAAAAAAAAAAAAACGAATCTGTAAAGCAAAATATATAAAAATTAAAAAAAAATGATTGCATTTAAAACATACAAAAAATATTTGGTCAATCAATTTTCAAGCAGTCAATCAATTTATTTGAATATCTCTGACAGTCAATCAACCATTAAACAGTCAATCAGACATCTATTAGGCAGTCGATCAGCTGTCTTAGAAGTAAAGCAAACCTATGTATCAGACCTCTAATGTATAACTGATTGATTGATTGACTAATGTTTTATGGACTATCATCAATCAGCCAGTTAGTCCACAGTCAGTCAATCAGGCTGTCAGATCAAATGACACTGAATATTCAACCGATTGATTGATTAATCATTGATTAATTATCGTCAACCAAGCACAAAGTTGAACATCAATCAGCAATCAGCTAGTCAATCAATCCATTAGTAAATCAATTTATCAGCAAAGAAAATCTTACTATCAGGCGGAGTCTGTATAATAAACAGATTGATTGTTTAGTGATTGACATGCCATAATCAATCAATCAGCTAGTTGATTTGTTATCAATCAGTTAGTCAACCAGTCTATTAGCCAGTCAATCAATCAACTTGTGAGACAGCTATTTGTTTGTATTTAATGCTTGACTATCGTCGATCAATCAAGCACTTAGTGGTCAATCAATTACTTATGATTGACTGATCAACCAATCAGTTAGTTATTCAATCTACCATCAATCACTTAGTCTATCAGTCAATGAGTCAGTCAGTTATTCAGTTACTCAATCACTTAATGCTTCAATCAGTTCATCAGACATTCACTTAGTCAGAAAGAAGAAGAAAACACTTCTCCTGATACTAAGCTCTATTGGAGTTTTAACAAATTTACTCACATTTTCAGATAATTTAACAAATTAAAGTATTAATCATTTTATAAAACAATATATTTTATAAATTTGTATAATTATATTTTTTTAAATTTTAATTTCAAGTAAATAATTTATAAAAGTTATGTATAATATGTATTAAATTAAAAATTGTCGAAAAAAGCATAAAAAATATTATTAATTATAACTGAAGAAAATTGAAATGTTTTTTAATTATTTACTGTCCGGAGTTGGGGGTTTGCTGGTCGAAGCTGAGAAGTTGCCGCCGTAGATGCCACGCGGAGTGCGCGGCAATTGTTGCTGCTGCTGTTGATGTTGCAGCTGTGCCTGCTGCTGCTGCAGCTGCTGATGATGCAGCTGATGTTGCTGCAAAGCACGTTGCTGCAGCATTGCCTCATAGAGTATGGCCGCAGCTGCTGCATTGGACGATTGTTGCTGCTGTTGTTGCTGCTGTTGCTGCTGCTGCTGCTGCTGCTGTTGATGCAGATGTTGCTGCTGATGCTGCTGCTGATGTTGCTGCTGATGCTGCTGATGCTGCTGCTGCTGCTGGTGCAGCTGCTGCTGTTGATGCTGATGATGCTGCGTGGCATTCTGACGCAAATTAGCAGCCAACAGCTGTGCATAGACCTGCGTGATATCGTTCGCATTGCCCGAGGCCATGCCATAGATGGGCATTGACATGTTGTTGGAGGCGCCAGCAACTAGATGCTGTTGCTGCTGTGCCTGTTGCTGTGGCAGCTGCTGCTGCAGCAATTGCAGATACAGCTGCGACAGCTCGTTTATGGATGCGGTGCCTGGCTGGCCACGCCCACTCAATGTCTGCCCACTAACATCGCCGCCTCCGTGCGAGCATTGCGAGTGTTGCTGCTGCAGCAAACCCGACAGCATCTGATTGTAAGCGGAGCTCTGCAAAAAGTGAGATATGAATCGGAAATAAATTCAAGTAACAAATTGATTTCAGCAAATTCAAAAATTTCTTTGCTTTACAATTTTAAAAAAAATTCAATAAAAATAATTTAAAAAACCAAATTCAATTTAAAATTAATAAAGAAAAATTTATAATAAAAATGTACACTTTAAAAATTGAAAAACTTCAAAAAAATTTTTTATATTAAATTAATTTGTATCTAAATTCAATTTATTAAACATTGTACTGAAAGATGCTCAAAACAAAAATATTTTAAATTGAATAATATATTAAATATTTTTGACAACAAAAAACGTTCAAAATTTTCCAAAATTTTTTTTATTTTATTTTTAAAGAAATATCAATTTAAGTTTTTAACTTGAAATTTAATATTTTTGTGCATTTAATCAAAAGTTAAATATTATTCAAATATTTTTTGTTATCAAAACATTTTCTAGTTGCAAAATTCTTGAATATTAATAATTATTTGGAATGGAAAAATAATTCCTTGTTTTTGAAATAAAATTTGAGTTTTTACTTTTAGTTCAAACATTTTTAAGCATTTAATAAAAATTGATTTGATGACATTAAAGTTCTTTTTAATATTCATTTCAAATAAACAATTTGTATAAATATTTGTAAAAATTGATTTGATGACATTCATAAAAAATAATTTTTTATGTAATAAAATTGAAAATTCGAAATGAAATCATTTACTTACAGCTCCTGCGCGTGCATTATGCCCTACAATGGCCGGGTGCTTGCGATCGTAGAGCGCCTTGGCGCCACGCTCGAAGCCTGGCGGCGGTTGCGCCTTCGGTGGCACGCCGCCTCCCCCTTCGCCGGTAAAGCTTGGAGTCGTTGACTGCAACTGATAGTCCACGCCATTCAGGGCATAGTGCTCGGCAGCCTTGTGATAGCTAAAGCTGCCATTCTCCGGGTGACCCGTAGTATCGCCATAGAGCGCATTGAGTACCTCGTTTAGGAAGCCAGAAGTAGCTGCGGGGCTTGGATCGAGCTGGAGCTCCGTGTCGGCTTGGGACGGCGAGCCCAGCTCATCGAGATGGTTTGGCATGCCCAGCTGGGCGTCGGTAACGGTGGGGCGCCAGATCTTCTTGGCCAACTGCTCATACGCATTGGCTGCACAGAGAGAGAGAGAGATAGAGAGAATGAGAGCGAGAGACAGATTCGTAAATGGAGTTATGAACGATGATAGGTATTTCACGCAGAGTCAACTTACGCTCGGCTGCTCTTTTGGCACCGTGTGCATCCATTCGCTTGAAGCTGCCTTGCTTCTATCACAGCCTAAGCAGCAATTCTCCCCTTTGCAAACTCTTTTCTCGGACTGAAGCCCAATTCACGCTTGGGCGTTTGTTTATACCAATTGAATTTGTTTGTGCAATCAAATCGAAATTTCTGGCTTTACTTTTAATTATTTATTTAATTTTATTCTTTATGCATAAGTTGCTCAAATAAATTCTTTGTCATTTGTCTGGCGAGAATAGAGACTGCCATTCGCCTAGGCTGTACGAAATAGAGTCAAATAATTGTGAATGGGCAGCACTGGCTGTCAGAGCTTAGCGATAGCATATCTATTTGTTATAGTGGAATGGCACTCACTGACAATTGACGGATTGTCGATATATGCTGAACGCATGGAATGGATAGAAGCGACCGGAAGTCGTTGCGAATTACTTTGTTTATAATGCCAGGTTGATTATAATTATATGTTAAGGATTATAATTATAAATTTAATAATAAGTGACAGACCCGGTGAAGTATATATATATGCTTGATCATGCCGACAAGCTGAGTCCGTCCGTATGAACGCAGCAATTTTGTGAGCCACAGCTAGGGATGTAAAATTCAGTATCTCAGGGTATCTTCTAGTTGAGCACTCCCGACTAGAACACTCTTGAATGTTACATTTATATGCTCTTATTTTCTGCTAACATGTTTTAATAATCTTTATTCATCAAATATTTATATTTACCATTTTGTTCATTAATAACCAATTATGTAAATATATAACAATATGCCTTTTATTACATATTTATAACAACATTTATAAAACTATGCCAAAATAGATATGGGCTTGGGCTAAGACTTGCTTAACATAAGCAACATTTTCAAGGAGTTGTTGCAGTTTCTTCATCAGCCTCTTCCACAATCGCATAGCAAAATCCAGCGCCTGATCCAGCAAGTTTTGCATAGCCCGGCAGCTTTAATAAAGTTGGAACACAGCTGAAAGCAGAGTATAAAAATTGAGAAACTTGTAGCAACTCTGCATATATCAATATCATAACTCATTTTCTCTCACACGAATTACCAAATGCTTTCCCACTACTTCACCCACTCACATATTTTCCGTGGCGTTATTTCCACAATTTCCATGCTCATTCCATCCCCAAGTATAGATCTCGCCAGCTGTGGTTCGCAACAGTCCATGCTCCGCGCCCATGTGCAGGCGTGCTGGCGTCGTGCCCTCCTCCAGATGCAGTTGCAATGGCGTTGGCGTCGCTCGCTGCTCACAAAATTCACCCGTGCCCAGTTGGCCATAGCAATTACGACCCCACAGCAAAATGCTATTGGTCTTCAGCATGGCTGCATTGTGTGTCCAGCCGACGGCGAGCTGGCGAACATCCTCTTCGAACTGAAAGGCGTTTGATTGACCAAACTTATTGTCACCTAGTGCGACAATGCGCCTGCTGCCACCTGCTTCTAGATCAACGCATTTAAGCAGCATGTGATTCTGTCCACTGACTAGGGAGACAATGCGCAGCTCTTTGGGATTGTGAACCTGGATTTTCATGACATTGCAGCGATGTAGCGACGTTGAGGTAATGTCCAATTCAATGGGTGGCGGATCCATAATGCGCAAACGCCCAAATATATAGATTTTCTGATCCTGCGTGAGCACAGCACAGAAGCGCAGACCGAAGCTAATCCTTTGCGCCGGCTCCTCGCGCGGCAAACGCACAGGCATTGGTCTCCGCACTGCCATAAAGCCGCGCTGGCAAATTCCAAGCTGCTGAAACGCATTCGAGCCCCAGACAAAGAGGCGTTTGGTCACTGTAATAGCGCCTGATATATCCCAACCGCAGCTGATGAACTCCACAGGTACTTCCTGTAACGAAAATTATGCAATTGAATAACGTATTCATTGTTAGTTAGTTAAAGTATACTTCAAAAAATTCGGTGGGCACCATGGAGAACTCATTATGGCATTCTTCGTTAGAGTTTAGACCCAATTGGCCGCGATTATTCCAGCCGCAGGCATGCAGACGTCCATTGCTATCGAGGATTAGTACGTGACCTCCACCGCCGCGTATGCAGCGCACCAGCTGAGGCAGAAATGAGCATTTAGATAGGCGCTGCGGTGTCATGCAGAGCTCCGATTCGTAACCAAGGCCGAGTTGACCGTGAGAATTGGCGCCCTGTGCGCAGCAAAGCGAAAAGAGGAAATCACTCATTAATTTGCAATGCAAATGACACCAACACAGACACACTCACCCAGGCATAGACAGTGACAGACATTGCGACCACCAGTTGCACAGGATCGGGCACAGTTCTAGGTTCAGGATCGTAGTCGGGCTCGGGGTTAAGGTTGAGGTCAGGGTAGGGGGCGGTGCCTGGGTCTAGCTTGCACTTCCGGTTTGTGTTTCACACGTTGATTTAATGCGCCGCAGTCACGCCAAGAATGTCTACGACCGCAATTGCCAACTGCAGCTGCTGCTATTGCAGCTCGTCCTCGCGCGTTGCTCTGCCCGCTGCTCATGTAAAACTGAGCCCTGGTGCTGACGTTCAAATAACTTTTATATCGTTTCGCTGTAAATTTTTCGTGGCCTTTTTTACAGTCGTTGCAAATCACATGCTGACCATGCGTGCAACGAAAGCCAATTGTTTTTTGATGTTTTAATTAAATATTTTAAATCCTTTAAAGAGAACTCGTTATGTTTCGCATTTTTGTTAGCTAAACAACGCAATTGCACTAACAGCGTTGCCATCTGAACATAATCTTTATTATTGTTTACAAAACGTGTGCAAGTATTTTGGTCTTTATGCCGGTTTGACGCGGTGGCAGCACTATCTCTTCATATGTTTGGGCTTATCTAAGCTAGTATGCTGCTCACGCACATGTGTAAGCAGTAAACGCTATAGATGAGCATATAAGAGCCCGCGCAAGTTAAATATTATGGCGTATATCTAACTATAATACAACTGTTAATCATAATTATTAAATGCATTACCAAAATAGTCATTAAATTATTTTTAATATTTCAAAAATACATTAGAGATAACTTGTTCGTTGTTGCTAGATTGAACTTATTACTAGTTCAAGCTCTTGCATTAAGCTGCATACATTGTTTAAAATATTGAAGAGAAAATTAAGAAATTGGGAAGAAATTTTAAGAAGTGTTTAATTCTAAATTGATGTAATAAAATAAGAAATAACTGTGCAATATAACTGTGAATTGTGTTATTCTCCTCGTGGCTTGTGAAGACAATAACAGCTCCTCATATTCACGCCAGACAACATGTTTAACAAATTGGTGCAAAAAGAGCCAAGCGGAGCGGCTGTCAAGCAGCTTATCGACTGGTAAATACCCTAGAAAAATAACCAACTCTAAACAATTCGTTATGCTTGCACCCTTGGTCAGTGCATTCAATTAATTGCCAACTATTTGAATTCTAAATTGTGCATGCAATCAAACAATCGAGGCAAATGTTTGCCTCTGACTGCGTTTGATTGCGTGCAACTTTTCCGACTTTTCCCGACTTCTTGTATAATGTGAAAATCATTAGTTTTTATTTGTGGCGTTTAGGGCGTATGCGAAGCCGATGTCGCAACCAACTTATTTTGCATTGCAAATGCGAAATCCAAAGTGCATTTTTCACCTGCCCATTTTTTTTTTGCCAAAGCGTTGCATGTTGGCTGGACATTGCAGTATTTATTATGTCCCGTTGTTTGTGTTAGTTAGTGTTGCGCATTTGCTGGTACCGTTAGTTCGCTAACTGTAATTAAACTCCAGTTGGCATACAATTTATGCTTGGGATGTATCGGTTCAATTGAACCTGAATGAACATGCTAAAGGAATAAAAAATAAATAAATAATAAATAATAAATAATAAATAATAAATAATAAATAATAAATAATAAATAATATAATTTACATAAAATTCGGTCCTAGTTTCTTTTTGCCAATTCCTTTACAATAAGTAGGGAATTCATATTTCCGCTACTTTGTCTACTTTTCGTCTACTGCTAATGGTTTTGCTCAAACCATCTTATGTGCGAAACCAATTTGGAACTCCCTTTTCTAGCGACAATTAAAGCTTAATTAAAATTGCATGCACTTTAACCTTCGCCCTGAACTTTGACGGTTTTAATTACAATATGTTTATATGAATTTCGCGTGCTCGTGGCAAGCGGAAGGCGGGTTTTATAATCGCTTTATATAGCCAAGCAAGACATTCAATTTAGCTAAATGTGTAATTTTGCAGATTTGCAAATTTTTCGACTAGTTGAAAATTCAGTTCTTAGAAAAGGAGAACTGATTAGAATGATATATTTGGCTTCGCTGTTTTAATATATTCTTATATTAAATTTAGTTTGATTAACTTGTATTATTAATTTTTTTTTAGTTCTATTGCAGTTTTATTCAGTATATATTTAAAACTTTTTTCGAATTGCCGCTTCAATTAACTAGTTCCAAGCAAGTTAATTTAGAGCTATCGCGCACTGCGCATGCGATAGCCTTAACGATAGCTGAACAACGTTGCCACACTATGTAGTCAGGGTTGCATTAGTTAAGTAGGCGCGCAAATTCAAATATTCAGCTGGAAATGTGCGAGTGGGAGTGTGACTTTGGTTTTTGTTCCCTAGAGTGTGATTGCCTTGCAGTGCAGACGTGACTCCATTTTCTGTGCGCTTTTCCTATGTTGTGACTTTTTATGTCTTTCAGCGCTTTTTTCTAGCTTGTTGCTGGTATTTTGAAATTAAATCTAATTTAATGGATATGCGTGTTGTTGTCTGTGCTTTTAGCTCTACTTCCATTCAACACATACGTGCAGTTACACACCCACACGCACACTCACACACAGTCACACATATTCGCAATTAAAGTTAAGAGTGAGAATTGCACATGTTTGCATTTCTTTTGCATTGTTTTTGTATTTCTTCTGTACGATTCGCACTTTTTTTTCCATTTTTCTTTAACGGCTGCGGTTTAGTTCGCGAAGCTCGTCGAATGTCGATTGGCACTTGTAATTAAACGCTGGCCGCTTAATGCCAATTGCTGTTTCGGTTTTAACTGAACGAATTCTTTTGCTGCCATTGAAGTGTCGGCTATAAAGAGAAATTGTATTTAAAAACTTTTTTTAAAAACAATTAAATTTTAACCGGAAAATTATTAATTTTATTTTAAGAACAATTAATTGGATTTTTTTATTTAACTAATGTAAATTATAAGAAAATATAGTTTTTTTATGGGATACATTTAAAATATATCAAGAAAATGTTCTATTTTATATAATTTGAAATCTTTAAATATTTTGAAATATTCAAAATATTTTGAAATAATTTATTAAAAACGAATTATTATTTATTTTTTATAATTTTCTATACTTAGATGATATAGAAAATTATTAGATTTTTTATCGTATACCTGATTTTTTAATCTTTTGCAGGCTCAGTGATGAAAATTGATAAATTGTTTATCTAAATTCTCTAAAAGCTTAACATTTTTTATATATTTATCTGGAGAATCTAGTAAGAAATTCAACACCTCATTCTTTAATATCCTTGAAGACAGTTGACATCAGACAGTTGATGCCACGTCTAGCGCACCTTCTGCTCTTGAAGCTTTGTTCGCTTTATCTTGCTTTCTACGCTTTTTGCTCCTTTGAGCTTAGTGTCATGATTTCCATTCATTTAATTATGTTTACGTCAGCTTTGATTTTGCATTCTTTTGCGTTACAAACAATAATTAATTTTTTAATTTAAGGAATTTTAAGCTATTTAAATAAATATGCTACCGTCTAATATACCTTGAATCCTTTCAAAATACGAATTCATATGCAATTCCGTCGCTTCTAATAATTTTGTATTGCAACATTGTTTCTATTGACTATGACTTTGGCTATAATTTAAGCGTGGTCAAGGACTCTCGGATTTGCAAGCATTGGTAATTAGGCCCAGTTATAGAAGTCGGCAGCTCTGCGATTTTTTGGTCGCATTGGCTTTTATGTTGGGGTTGGGTTGATAACTCGCGCAGCTCATATTTGGTTGGAAGTTTGAAAATCTATAAAAATGCTATCGAACTGAAGTTATTAAATTCAGTTAGATACTGAAGCGCTTGTAGCTTGCAATGAATATGGATAAGGATTCAAAAGGTATTTAGTGTAAAGCCACTGAATAACTTTAAATATTCTGCAAGTTTCACAGATAAACCAAATGTTGGTTAAACTCAAATATTGGTTAAGCCTCTGTAGACAAAAATTATGAAAATGCAAATCGATGCACTCTTTCCCCCCTCCCTCTCCCTCTCACTATGGCACTGTCATGTGCAGGCACAGACCATAAAACTGAATGGGCACGCAGAAAAGCAATTGCAGAGCATTAGGTACCGCAACTGAATAAGCGAGAGGGTTGGGTTGGGCTGCAGCTGGAGGGGGCTTGGTTGGGGTGCTTGAGTAGGAGGCCTAAACAAATTCAACTGCGACCGTGGCCGATGGCCACGCTCAAAAGTCATTTGACCACTAATCATGACTGTGGTTTGGACTGTTGTCCAATGCTCGGTCAGGCCACGCCCTGCACGCAATTGTCAAAACGCCCCCGTCGAAAAACCCCAAACACGAATTCAATTCCCTTTTCCGCACAGCACTCAAATTATGAAAAGTGAACACTTTGCTTCTGACACTTCAAATTAAATTTCAAATTTCAAATGCCAAAAACCGATGCCCCACCATGGCCACGCCCCCTTCCCCTCAGCTTAGCTTTTCTTGTGCATTCCCTAATTGCTCAATCAAAAACGTATGCAATTCCTTGGGGGTAAATCCCAAAAATGGAAGCTTAAAATACATTTTTGGCACAAAAAAAAGAGGAGAGATGGGGAGTGGAAGGGGAAAAGTGGGAGCAGGAGCAGGAGTTGGAGTGGAAAACTGCGTTTCATACTTAAACTTTGTGCGCGAACGGAAGTCAGCGGAAGTGTTTCGTCGCCAGGTAAAACAGGTGAGACTACTGAGGTGAAGTAAGCGGGCGAACTGGCTAGAATGAAAGTGAATGCCACCGGCAATGGCAAAGACAACAATGCCAAAGTTTGGCGTTGCAGTCAGCAGAGGGGGCGTGGCTGTGCGAGGGGCGCCTAAACGGAAACGGAAGCGCATTGAGCAAAAGTTGTTGCAGTTGTTGGCCTTTTGTTTCGCCAATGCAGCAGCAGCAGCAGCAGCAAAGCAATTTAAGTTAAACAAGCGAACAGTGCACACTCAACAGCCCACGCCCCTTCTTGTCGTGCGCTCTCTTCCACACAATATACTTGTCAAATATAAATTCGTTTTTTTTTTATTATTTTTGGAAGAAATCTGCTCAAGTTTTTGGCATTGGATTTGTTGGCTGCACACTTTTCAAAAAATTGTTTTTCTTGATTGACTTAAAGTTTCGACAGCGTGTCGCGAAATTTTTGACATGCATCGCATGCAACAGCGAATAGAAACTATTTTATGCTGCTCTGCGTGTGTGTGGGTATTTGTGTGTGTGTGTGTGTGTGCAGTTTATTTTATTTCTCCAAAGAGTTTGACAAACAAGCTAAATGAAGTGAGAGAGACTTTATCTTAAATCACAAATGAACTTTACTTTATTTTAAGAAAAATTGTTAAAGTTTTTGGCTTCAGCTTCAGATAAATTTTGGCATGAAAAGAAAATTGCTTTCTTTTGCATCAGATATTTAGTTAGTTTTATTAAAAAAAATGAACTGCTTTATATACTTGAACTGCAAG